TATTATTAACCACCCAATATGTATAATATAATACAATAAGCAATGTAATATTTAAACATTGCAATTGATTTGTTGTTTACCTGTTTCGTAAAAGAGTTATAATATTCAATTTGATCCAACGGTAGGTATGCATAATATATATATATATATACATATAATATAATATTATTAGCACAGTAAATAATAACGTTTTATTAAAAAACATACTTGCAGAGTGAGTGTGCAAGATAGTGTGTGTGTGTGAGAGAGAGAGATAAAATTAAAATGTAAATTAACATTTCCTGACTGTATACCATATTTATATGTTGGTACTATAAGAGCGGTATAGGGGTGGCGAAGAGGAGCTTATCGTTATTATTCTTGTATACTGTTGAAGACACCGCCCCCGTGACCGAGGTGGAAAGGTATAGTAATAATCGTGGTGAATGTTTAAAAATTCATTGAAATTACTACGTTGATGACAAAGACATGAATTATGTAGGTATCTACCTAACCTTATATAAAATATTATATATATATATATATATACAGATACAGACATCGCAATACAAGTTTAAATAATTTAAGACGTTGCAGAGTATATACCGAGCAAAAAAGAACAAGCACACAAATATTTACAAATAATTAAACACGTTGGTTATACCACATGGTGATTTTTTATAACGTAAATTAGTTATTGTTCACTAATAATATCTCTTACCTGCAAAATAGTTTTCAAAGCAGTAATTTCAAAAACCTTTAAGATTGTTAAAATAATTACTTTTACAATATACTTTTTTAAGTAATAGAAATGTAGACTGACGTATTAATTTAGTTCAATGAATAATTGTGCAGTTTTATAAGTAACCGACTCAACTTAAGTAGGTACGCAATGAATACTCTTTTATGTAAWCCTGACTCATACTAATAGGAATAAAATGTTGTTAAATACTTATTTGATAATATACTTAATCTCGTTCGTAAGTAACAGCCTGAGTCCGAATATATATAAATATATATAAATTCACCAAGACAAAATTCACTTAAACTGTTTTAAATTGAAAAAAAAAATATTTTCCTAAAAATTATTTAGAATAGACCAGCATGGATACGTTAATTTTAAATAGAATCACTGCGTGTATTTTGCGCGTACTCGTACTTAATGTAATATAAAATAAAATTTAATAGAGGTATTACACATTTGTGCGGGTTTTTTGTTAATTTTAATTAGAACGAATCCACCGCGCCGTCGTTTATATATACATGTGTACGTTACACTATACTTAAATAAAAGCTTAATACTCACCCCCTTGCCACAGCCGGTTGGCGCTTCTGTATATATATATATATATATATATAATGTACACGCTCACGAAGATTGCACTCTGGACGTGGAAAAACGTTTCCCTCTTTCACAGAAATGTAACGAGTAATTATCAGCGGATTACGCGGGTACACCCCCTCCGGAGTCAGATTAACCCTCTGCAACCCTGTCTATAATCTATATATATATATATAATATTGTGTAACCGTTTCCCCTTGGTGCCCACTCCAAACAACACACCCGCCATCGCCGCCGTTGAATGGCAGTCGTCAAAACCCGGTACCGTGCGCCTCCTCTTCTCCTTTTCCGCACCCACGTTCTCACTCTCGGTGTACGGCAAATCGGCTCTCGTTTAATTAATTTCGCCTTTTCGGTTTTCCACGCGCTAATGATTTCGAGTACACAACACGCTCGCCGTACATAATAATATAGTCGTCGGTGTCCCGTTCGCCGGCGCCGAAAGAGTTCGATTAAGACTGCGCGGCGGCGGAGTAACGTGTCCTGGAAATGGACGAGCACTTCCTGCTGTATTTATATAAATACGAACGGTCCGCGGTCGTGAGTACGAAACGAGACGAAATTCTCCTCCGTGTCCTTACTCGTACAGATTATTACTGTACACTCTACGTATTGTTTTTCATTTATCTTCTTTCCCGACTCTTTTCCTTTACATATAGCGGGCCTGCAAAGTCGTAAAAGAATTACATGTATATCAGCATATTCAACTATAATAAATAGTATATAATATCTGTTATTCAACTCATAATAATAATAAGTGTTAACTCTACACTGTTAAGTGTTATAAGACGAAATATATGTTATATATAGTTATAATATTATTTGTACGTACTGAATAAGAAACATTTGCAGTACAAATGCAGACACGTGGGTTTTTCTCAAAAGTCTATATAATGATCGGGCTAGTGATTTTAAGTTTAATTTTTCGTACAAAAGGAACATAAATGCGTACATGATGGACAATTAAATGTTTCCCTAACGTCACGTGATCTCGAACTTCAAATATGTGATAGTGATATACTGACATAAGCTATATTAATGGTGCAAAAACGAAGTCAATATATTTAAATCTCTACGGGTATTCGTATTTTTGCGTGTTAACTAAAATTTTTTAATCTGTTTACGTTATATTTTTTAATCAGTTACTATATTWAAAAATTATAAATGATAATAATGATATATATTATTTGTTTTATTTGTTTGTGCAGTAAAATGACGTTAGCGAAAATGGATCAGAGGTTCCAATTGATCAGTCATCACAGGGATGACAAACCGACCGAACCACCAAGGGCGCTCAATCCGGTGATCAATAATTCTAAACCGAACAAAGTAAGCTCTCAGAAATTGTATAAATCTCGCACTTTCCAGTTTTTATTTTATTCGATTGGTTTTTAAATCTCCGATTGAGTTTAATCTTGATATTCTTGAATGTCGTTATAAGCTAAGCGTTTTCGATGTTTTTTTGTTCATTACTCGCGAACGATTCGATTTATAATTATATACCTAAGTAAATCAACGCCTAAGATAAAGTTAAATAATAAAGCTATATTAAATGGTGTTTGTAGTTAACAATAACAAAACATTAATTGTACTCGCGTGATGAAGTGGATTTATCAGGATAATTCTATAGTGTTAAAGTTGTATATAAAACAAGAAGGCAAATAGTTTCTTTAGGGTTATTGTATTATATTTATTTAGAAGTCATCAAGTGGCGTGGATAAATAGTYGGAGGGAGCGTAGCGACCTTTTAATAGGGGAATCGTCGTTCCGGTCGGGAAGCTTACAAGTTTACGATGCGAGTAAATGACAATAGCTTTAGCCTTAAAAATAAAATAAAAAAATGACAAAACGTTATTTTTATTTGTTTSCTTTAAACACTTAAAAGGCGAACTAAATTGTCGAAATTAAATTTTCAAAGACGTCGCTCCGCTGACAGATATTGAACGAATATAATATTATACCGATCAACTTGAAATAAACAAATAATTTAATTTATGTTTCGCCTTATAGTTATTATTTTTTCCAAATTCCGGCAATTATTCCGTAAGRGTGTGTGTTATATACATAAAACTGTAAAACTGTATCGAGAAATAATTAGATTTTGTGAAATTACAAAATCATGACATACAAACATTACAAACACATTATTAGGATTTATATAWTTCCGGTAAGCCCGCCATGAATTCAAAAACCAACGATAACCATATACACAGTCAACTCGTATTATGACACAATACATTTTGATAATAGTCTAATGAGTTAATTGCGGTAATGTTTTGGTGGGCATAAAATTAATTTATATACATAATATACGCGTAATAATAATAATAATGTCATAATCGTGGCGCTACGCGAATTCGGATAAAGCACCTGAGCAGGTTCTGTTTTGTCTGTCCAACCAGGTGGGCACGGTGATTCTGTACGGCGTGCCGATCGTTTCGCTGCAGATGGATAACCAGGAGCGACTGTGCCTGGCCCAGATCAGCAACACGCTGCTGCACCGGTTCAGTTACAACGAGATTCACAACCGGCGCGTGGCGCTGGGCATCACGTGTGTGCAGTGCACGCCAGTGCAGCTGGAGATGCTGCGCCGGGCGGGCGCCATGCCGGTTTCGTCGCGCCGTTGCGGCATGATCACCAGGCGCGAGGCGGAGCGGCTGTGCAACTCGTTCCTAGGCGACAACACGCCACCCAGGCTGCCCGACGACTTTGCGTTTGCGGTGCACCACGAGTGCGCGTGGGGTTGCCGTGGCTCGTTCCTGCCGTCCCGCTACAACTCGTCCCGGGCCAAGTGCATCCGTTGCGCCGTGTGTGGTCTGTTCTTCTCGCCCAACAAGTTCATATTCCACTCGCACCGCACCGGCGCCGGGGCCCGGTACGTGCAGCCGGACGCGGCSAACTTCAACTCATGGCGCCGGCACATGAAGCTCAGCGACGATCCACCCGACCACGTGGTACACGCGTGGGAGGACGTCAAGGCCATGTTCAACGGTGGCACGCGCAAACGGGCCGTGTCCAGGCCATCGCCACCGTCGCTCCTGCACCAACAGCAACAACCGTCGCAACCACTGCTGCCGCCGACGCCACATTCACGTCAGCAGTCGTCGGCTTCGTCGTCGCCGCCGTCKTCGTCTTCGTCGGCCGCAGCCACCGCCCCGGTAGTCGTGCAAATGCCTCAGCCGGTACTCCAGTCTGCGGCTCACCTGCACCACCATCAGCACCATCAACACCACCAACACCGGTCGCCAGAACTGCAGCAAAAGAAATCGGCGCCGTCCGTACAGGTACCGTCCATGCCGCTACACCAGGCCATGGTCGATTATGTGTGGCAACAGCGGGCCAACCCGTTCGCCGTGGCCGCGGCCGCTGCGGCTGCGTATTCCGCGGGCGGTGGCCTCCCCTGTTGGCTGCCAAAACTCGAGCTGGACCCGCATCATCACAACGCCCTTGTCAACCGGAGCGCCGTTGCGGCCGATTATTCTTCCGCTTTCAGGCCCGTGTACCCGGTTACCGTGGCCGCGGCCGCTGCTGCTGCCGCTGCAGCCGCCGCCGTTGCAACCAAATCGGGTGATGGGGAAGACGACGACGACGACGAAACCGGTGGCGGTGGTTGTTGCATGGACGACGTGGACGACGATGATGATGACGACGACGACAACGACGATGAAATAGACATCGAAACGTGTCCAGACGAAAGGAATACGTAGGACCTAAACAGATGGCTATTTATATTTTTTATGATTTTTTTTTTTATTTGTAGTTATACAGCGTGTTTATGTACGTGTATATGTACGTGATTTACGAGCGGTAAAATCAACTATCGACGAGTTCAGGTCTCGTCCGATGGCGTCTAATTTMAAAACGTAAATCGGTTTTCGCTTTTTAACCTCGCATCTCATAATATCACCAAATGATAAGGTATTTAACGTTTTCAAAAAAAAATAAAAATAAAAAATCGTTAAGTAATCGTTATTTTGTCCTTACCGGTTGACTGTGCGTGCCCGTGTAAAAGGTATAAGATCGCCGGAGCTATACTCCGTAATACCGTTATATACTTCAGGGGGAAGTTGTAGAATATATTTTGTTGGCCTAAAGTATTCTATTAATATACAGGTATATCATTAATTATTTTTTGACGGAAGTTTATACGAACACGTATATATATGTTGTATGCTGTACCTATGCACATTATGGAAAGTGAATTGTCTTCTCTTGGACGCCCGCAAATGCATTAAACTGTTAAAGTGTATATGTTTTTCATCGTAGAAGGTATCGGATGAAGTCTATAATAATACTACATAATGTAATGAATTTATTTCTTGTTTGTACACCGTTCATACTTTACCTTCTATAAATACCAACCCTGGACCCATACATTTTAATTTATAATATGTAGGTAATAAGTTGCGACGCACTTCACCACATTACTGTTTAGTCAAAATTACAAAARCTCTACTGAATAGATATTTGTATACATTATTATGCTAATATTACGTGTTTTATGTTAGACCTAATACTATCTAAGTCATATACTTAATATTATGTAAAAGTCAAATAATTATTAAGCCACCGCTTTGGTGGTCGACGGTATACGCTGTAGACTGTAGAATAATACTAATATAATATTATTGAACTTTTTAATCGGCACATTATACAATATATTTTATAAGTATATTATATTATATTATTTATTGTTAATGTAAGCATTTCGATGTCTATTTGTTAAACTTGAGTGATTGTTAAAACGTATGTTTCTTTCCCCTCTCCTTTTTATTCTACTAACATAGTACATATTATAATAATATCATAATAACAAACAAAAATAGTTTTATTTTTATTTTTACAATTACTTTAGTACCTATTTACTAACATTATATTATTATTGTCGTCATCATTATAACATTATATACACTATTTTTTATGCGCTCACATAAAAAATACGGTGTACGTACCTACAACACGGTTATTATATATATACAGCTGTGACGTGACGCGCGCACGTTATTATTTAAATGAAAACGGCAACCCTCGGGTGGCGATTGGAGTGTAAAGGAAACCCGAGACTGACGTGTCGTATAATTAAAAGACGATCCCAGAGGGAGTGCAACGGTGGCGTTTGGCTAAGGTCAACGGTTGACATTTGGCGAGCCGTTTTTAAACGTCGCTTTTAAAGCGAATCGGAAACGGTCCCTGTCGGGGAATACTGAGTGTATTATTATTATTATATACTGCCTGCCCGTACAACCCAAATCGGATTACCATGGGTTTTATTTATAAGGAAAACGATTTCAATTTTTTTGCGCCACCGTTCACGGTAAAAAATACCAAAGGAAAAGAATACTGATCTTATAAGATTGGTGCTGCACTGCTGCAGGTGCTTGAGCGTAATTAAGATTGAACGGTTCCAAATTCTTGGAAAACCCAAGTGTAAAATGACCTAATCCCCTCTGCCATCGCTGAAATTTAGCAGTCATTTTAAAAGTACTTAATAATCAAAATCAAAAATAARCCATAGCATCGATTGGGAATACGAGTATCAACACAAAGACACGAGACAATCGTATAATGGTATAAATACTTTCTATTAAACCATAAGTATTTATTAGCCAATACCATTGGTATTTATAATCAATGCGAATACCTAATAATTTATATTGTGACGCGTCAATTTAATAAATATCTTCTGCGCAAACTTGAACCAGCTACGATAAATCCATTTATTTGGTACACCCATCACAATGTCAATATATAGCTAATACAATATAATATAGAGTATTAATATAATATATATAATTATTAGTTATATTTTTAGATGTTTTTTCTTCATCAGAATTTGGCTCCTATAACTACGATCCTGAAAAGAAGCTAAAAAGTAAAACTTAATTCGTGGATTAAGCTCCCTATTACTACCTGTAATTTCACCGACGGACTGATCTGGTTTATTTTATGTAGAAATACGCATTGATATAATCAGGYGCATCTGCACAGACATCACTCTCGACGAGCGGCAAACTCTACCTCAAGTCCGTTTCGTCAGTACCGTCATTTTCGAATTTTAATACCAAACCTTGAAAGCTGTGAAAATGTGAAATGGACTACGACGACCATATTGAGGTTACGAATTTCAAATTTAACAATTTTATGATTACTACTGGAGGTATACTATCAAATCATAGCGGTTAGTCAAAGTAATGCTAAGTTTCTATTACTCCATGCACAACACTCTACGGGTATGGCGTATGCCAATAACCGGAAATCATTCTGATCACAAACTTTTGCTGTTTATAATACCTATACGATATAACCCGCGCGCCCTGTTCATCTTGTCATTCGAAAACCGTTTAACGATTTATTTTTGAAAAAAACTTTTGCATTAGAATCTGCAGCGGCTGAAAACTATATTTAAAAAAAATACAATACAGCTGTTTTTTTTTCATCTAAACGGTTGTCGAATGAAATGATGAACTGGATTGTTGATCCATGAAATTGTATGATACTATAGATGTATTATATCTCCAACCCGGTTGACCATGCGGTAAGAACGTATATTTATTTATTTATTTATGAAAATTTAAACGGGCTAAAGCCCAATATACAAAAACAAAAAAAACAAAAATCGTGTTTGTTTACAGAGTAAGTAGCGTAAGTTGTCATCTTATAGTAGACAATGCGTAAATTGGTTGATATAGAAATCTAAGTTGTATACATATTACATACAAACAAAAAAATCAAATAATATTTACATTATTGTTAAGATATATATATTAAAAAAGGCGATATTATTACAACAGATCAAATCTACGTTTTATTTGTTCACAAAGCCCATTAATCTCATAATGGGGGCATTTTTAGCATAGTTTGTACGATGAAATGGCATATAAAATGTATTTGAATTCCTGGTATGAGAACCAGGAACCAAAAAGTTAAATTTAACTAGTATCTCTGAGCAATTTATGATACCATTCAATAATTTAAAAGTGAAATTAAGATCGAGTCTAATTCTCCTTAATTGTAAAGATTCTAAATTGGTTAATAAATGTAATGGTAAGTAGGATGTGTGTCGTACTATATGTTATATATAGGTATAAACAAACTAGTATACCAAAAGCTTACCATGGTTACCAACAAATCACAGCAAATGTTTTTTATGCTCATATACACATCAACGTGTATAATATATAGTGGAAACAGTGAAACATTGCAGAAAACCTGCCTTAACTTTAATATTATTATCATTATCTGTGTCACGCATCGTCGTCATTATAAGTATGTGTATGTGTGTGTGTGTGTGTGTGTGTGTGTGTGTGTGTAGGCATATGCGCTTAATCCATAAGGGTGCAGGGTAGATATTTTATATTGTTTTGTTTTCTGGCCCGTCCTATGTATTATTATATTATATAATATATGCACGCAGCAAGAGTGAACATAATATTATGACACGAGAGACAATACGCACCAAGTCACAGAAGGACTCTACCATGCCTAGTAATAATTAATGCCAAATCATGGGAGGCATGGCGAGGGACGACGATAGAGAGAGGGTTGGGGTGGTTCTCGCGTGTACCTAAATATTTGTACATTATATTCGTCGGGTTCGATTCAATCGTATTATATACAATACACCATATAATATTATATATTGTAGTGTATACATACGGAAAACGCAAACACGGCAGCGACGACTCAATATACGCAACCATTGTAATTATTATTATCGTCTGTGCAAGTTTAATCGTGCTCGCGAGACCGGTGAATAATTTATATGGTACGCGAGCGCGGACCGGGCGGCGATGACGGTGGCCTCGCGGGCGACGCGATCATTCGCCTAGAGGTCGCACACCCGGCTGAGTATGAATAATAATAATACGAATAATATAACATAATAATATAGTGAGCCCGAGGCTCGATCGCATCTCTATTGTTATTGTGTTATTTTCTATTTTTTTCTCTCAATTTTCATCCCCCGCGTTAATCATCCCCGCCGCCCGACGTGCTTTATTTACATTTTTTTTTCTCTCGACGAGCAATACTGCACTACAACGAACTACAACAGCAGTCGTACACTAGAAATAATAACGTATATATAATTATAATATAAATAAATACCTATTTATTATAAAGTAGGTAACTAGTCAATCATTTCAGGTAATACATAATATTATATTAACTAATGGTAATAAAATCATCGAGTTTTCAATAAATATAATAATAAATGTCATAAATCATAAATGTCGTCTTACGATTGGATGTGAAGAGGATACTTTGAATTAGCCTACCCATATAATAATTTACCTATGCATGTAGTTTATTAATTGTTATACTGCAGCGATT